TATATATATATATATATATACACACACATACACATATTCAAATAAATATATTTGCACTTAAAAATGAGGTACTGGGAATGGTAAAACAAAAGTATTAGACTCAACTTCTAAGGAAGACACTGCACAAAAACAGAAATTTAAGGTTCTGTCCCCTAGGAGTTTCCTTCCATTCTATCAGGGGAGACAGCATGTATATGCATATGCACACGTATATTTGTGTGTGCACATATTTGTGTGTATCTGCATATATACAAATAAATACATTTTCATTAAAAATGTATGAGATAACAGGAGCGATACCTCACAGACCCATACTTACAAATTTCTGATTAACAAAATAGCTCTGTCTGTCACCCACCAGAGAGAGATTCAGTCCCTCCTTTAAAGTCCTCCTATGGCCTTAGCTAATTACATGGGAATGGTCTAAATGGGATTACGGTTCTCCGGCTCTGGGGCGAAGGTCTGATAGCCAAGGGTAATGGCACTGAGCCACGTCCATCCGGCCTAGACCCCTGGCCCACATCAGCGGAGGGGCCGGGGCATCGGCCTGACGTCTCCTGACGACAGGAACCCCTCCAGGGGTCCAGGGACCAGGTGGTCAGCTGAACTCCAACCCCAGCATACAGGGAGGCTCTAGATCACCGTCTGATGCCACCTGTTTGTTCCAGGTGGACGTGGCCAGTTCCGTGGCTGCTGTTTGGGTTGGTGGCCTTCCTTCGCTCAGCTTTATCTTTACTTTCGATTTTCCCCTGCAAGCTTAAGAAGAATGAATTACATCCCCGGGAGTTTGGCTGTTCTATACAATTAAGAAAAGCAATTTCTTAGTCACAAGGCAGGTGACGACACCATCTCCCCTTCTCTCTCTGCGGGAGTCTGTCATCACTCAATATAATTGATCTCCCTTTTCATCCACAGCCTCCTGTTGTACAAATTTTGGGGTACGAGAGCAGTGACCATGACGCTATTAAATCACGAATGCCCTCTCCACTGAGCCACCCTCGTAACCCACTCGGTGCCAGCGACCTGACAATCTGTCGCCACTCCAGGGGCGAAGGTGGCTGGGGGTCTTTAACGGGGAGGCAGGACTCGTGGGTGGCTGGATTCTTCTCCACTATCGGGGTTGCTGGGGAAGAGTTCATCATCATTCCTTCACAAACAAAAACACAAGTTGAGGGGAGTTTGGCTGCTCTGGAGGAGAGGAGGCCAGCCAAATAAATACTGGGAAAATGTGTCACTGCAGGGCAGGGGACATGGCAACAGCAAGGCCACAGGGGGGACAGGAACCAGAGGACAGACAGGACCAGACTTCCCTTACTCCCACCACACTCACCCACCCCCAGACTCGGGGGAGGACTGGATTACAAGAGCTTAGCAGAAAGGAAAAAAGTGAATTCTAGCAGCAATGTAGACAGAAGAGGAAGCCAGGAACTGGCTACCTGCTGACCGAGGGGGCCAGGTCCTCGCTGTATCGGGGGAAGCAATGAGCAAAGCCCAGAAACAAAGTCCAGCCAAATGGAAGTAAGCAAGCTGCCAGAGGGCAGAGAAGGGCCGTTTTTCTCTTGGTCTTTGACTCCCAGAGTAAGCACTTAATTGTTTGATAAATAGAAGACTAATTCTGTTTATAGTCTCTCTAAAGGCTGCTAGGTGGCTCAGTGGATGGAGGACACCTGAGTTCAAATCCAACCTCAGATACTTCCTAGCTGTGTCACTTCACTGCTGTCTGCCTCAGTTTCCTCTACTGTAAAATGAAGAAAATAGCACCTGCTTCCCAGGGATGTTGTGAAGATCAAATAAGATGATATTTATAAAGCACTTAAGAGTGCCTGGTACATAGTAGGCACTTAATAAATGCTTATTCCCTCCTACCGTCTGCCCAAACTAACTTTATTGTTAACTGACTTTAGAATTTCTACTTTATTTGTGCCTAGCTGGGGAATACCCATTGGTATTTCACAACTGTACCTCTGAAATTTGCAAGTGTTGCCGTCACATGGTCTTCACGCCCAACAGCTGTCTGTTGGAAGGCAGAAGGTCTTACTTAAATCCACAAGCCTTGTGAATAGCAGTGTAAACACAAGCATGGTTCAGACTGAATCATGAATAAAATGTATTTACAGTGAAGACATTTGAAATGTCCTCCCTATACTTATGGACCTAAATCACACCTTCAAGGTCAGGCTCCAAGCCTATCACCTCTATGACACCCCCAATACCCCCCCGATCTGAGATGATCTCTTCCTTCTCCACACTCTAATAAAAGCTTATTATTAGTAAGGACAGCTAGGGGGCACAGTGTAGAGAGCTCTGGGTCTGAAATCAGGAAGATCTGAGTTCCGACATTTATGAGCTGTGTGACCCTAAGCAAGTCACTTAACCTCTATCTCCCTCAGTTTTTTATAATATTATTTTTATAAGCACGGTTTGTAATGTCAAAAACATCTCCTACGTCCACCAGTGAGTGAATAACCGGGGAACAGCTGGAAAAAAAATGTGGTATATGGACACACAGGAATGTTACTGTTGCCTATGGAATGACGAGAAGGTACTAAAAAACATGGAAGAAAGAATGGGAACTTAGTACCATATGAAATTGAACATGGGCCTTCAAAAACACCTTCAAAAACACAAGTCTGGGCTTTCTTGTTCTCCTTGTCTTCTGAAACATTCAGGATGAAATTCCTACATAGAACACTTTGCGAAATTTAAAGCATTAAAGAAATGCTAACTATTATTATTATCATTATTATTTGATGATTTTTAAGTCCGTGAGAGAGAGAGTGGCTGGATCTGTTTTCATTGGCTTAGTTAGGCATCTTCTGGGTGAAGATTTATCGATGGAAGTCAGCCTGGTGTCTGTGACTCAGGGGTCTCAAGAGTTGCCCACCAGGGTCCCCCAGCTAGTATATGTCAGAGGCAGGGCTGGAACCCAGGGACTGTGTAAGGCAGAGGTGAATGGAGAGTGCATTCCACATATGGGAAATGGGAAGTAAAAACACACAGAGAGACGGAGTGTCTTGTCTGAGAACAGAGAGCACACGGGTTTGGCTGGACTACAGAATACAGGAAGGGAAGTCGCATATAATGAGTCTGGAAAGTTGGGTTAAGGGCTTTAAAAACCAAACAGAGGAATTTATATTTGATCCCAGAGGCAAATACGGAGCAGCCACCAGGGTTGAATGAGTCGAGAGGTAACAGGGCCAGTTCTAGGCTTAAGGAAAATCACTCTGGAAATTCTGTGAGAAGATGGCTTTGAGTAGGGAGAGACCTGAGGCAAGGAAACAGAGGAGAAGGCCTTGGTAATCACCTAGACCCCTCCAGCTAAGATGGTGGCTGTGTGAGTAGAGCGAAGAGCAAGGATTCCAGAGATGTGGAAACAGCAGGATTTGAGAACCAAGGGCCACGTGGAGGAGGTGAGAGAGGGCGATGATGGCGGTACAAACTGGAGTGGCAGTAGGAATGGTGGGGCCACTTCTTAACGGAAACTGGGAAGACGGGACAGTTTGAGGAGAAAGAAGAAGAGGTCAGTTTGGGACAGGTCGGGTTTGAGACGCCTGCAGGGTGTCCAGTTTGAGTGGTTCTAGAGCAGACTCAGGGTTCTGTGTCTACGAGAGGTCAGACCTAGGGACACAGTTTGGTCAGGGGCCTGGAGCAGACCCAAACTGCTGGCATCCCAGGGTTCGACCAGATCAGAGTGGAAATGACGGCAGGCCGGCCAACCCGGAGCCTCTGGTCAGTAGAATGAGGGCTGCTCAGACCCCAAGCCTAAACTCTCAGACAGACAGAACTGGCCTGGACACAAGGGCGAGTGCTGACGCTCTAAAAGGTAAAGCTCTGCTGATACTGGTGCCTCAGTAGGCTTTGCCAAATGATACACCCAGACCCAGGAAACTCTGCCCACAGCCACATACGCTCTTATTCCTCCTTACGGAATGGCCTTAGGCCACCAGGTAGATGGATTTCCAACCATTCTGTTCCTCGTGTTATTTTGGTCTATCATATGTAATTGTGTTCTCTGCAAGCTAATTCAAATAATTTACAGTAAGGAAACTTTTCTGAAATAAGTCTCCCTTCTTTATAATCTGATTATCAATCTCATATCTGATAAGAAGGGTTATCATATCTGATATAAGGCAGCGAGGTAGCAAAGCGGAGAGAGACTGGGTCTGGAGCCAGGCAGATTCGAATTCAAATCCTGCCTCAGACATTTACTAGCTGTGTGACCCTGGGCAAGTCACTTAGCGGCTACCTGCCTCAGTTTCTTCATCTGTAAAATGGGGTTAATAATAGCACCTGCCTCCGAGGATTGTTGCGAGGATCAAATGAGATATTTGTAAAGTGCTTAGCACAGTGGCTGGCTCATAGTAGGCATTTAATAAATGTTTACTGAATGAATGAAAGTCATTTAATTGCTGTCTGCCTCAGCTTCCTCAACTGTAAAATGGGGATTACAATAGCACCTACCTCCCAGGGTTGCTGTGAGGATCAAACAAGATAATATTTGTAAAGTGCTTACTTAGCACAGTATCTGGCTCACAGCAGGTGCTATATAAATGCTCAATGCCTTCCTGAACCTCTCTCCGCTTCAGTTTCCTCATCTGAAAATGAGTATAATAGTACCTATTTCACAGAGTTGTGCGAGGATCAAATATCATTGTGCAAACCTTAAAACGCAATATAAATTCCAGTTACTATTACTGTTGTTGTTGTTATTGTTATTTTGATAGGTAAGACCTCACTGATGGATTTCATAGTCCTGCAGGCTGAATTTAAGTGGCTAAAATTTACCACTCAGGCCACAAGAAACCACCCCAGCGAGTCTGCACAGAAGGGCCAAACCACGTGTTTCCCGGACAACTGGCTGGGGTTTGTGGCCACGAGAAAAACGAAGTGCCAGATTGATGTCCCCCTTACATCAGATAGCCAAGCCCGAGAGGGCTGCCCGGCCCCTTCCCCTTCTCCTCTCCCCGCCCCTCTGTGGAAGGAAGCCCCAAGAAGAGAGGGTGGTTGTGACACTGAAGACACATGTCACAGACCAGACTTCCCCAGCGCCTCTGGTCCCTGCCCGGGACTGCCCAGCGCTCCCCACCAGAGCCTCATTTGTCTTCAGAGCGTCCCCACGACGTCCACGGGCAGAAGCCCATCTAATGGCATGGAGACATAGTTTACGAAGACTGCTTCCGGTTTTACTCTGTATCTCATCCAGGACAGCAGCGGCTGTTTTTAGCTCACCACCCACCAGTGAACTTCTGGCCTCATAACTCATATCTCTCCCCCACTTCCTCTGGTCAATCTTGCTTAAAAATAAATACATACATACATACATACATACATACATACATACATAAATAAATAAATAAATGAAAAGGATGTCCAACTCTGCCATAACACAGAATAGTGAAAAAAAAAAGCCAAATTCCAGAAAGTCTCCCTCCCTCCTGCCTCTACTCCTGCCCACCTCCCCCAAGCTTGTGAAACACAGACCGGAAATTAAATAACTTCATCATGGAAAACAATTGCTTTTACCCAAAGCAGGATCAAATCATGGCACGCACGTAATGCCACTCCCTGAGAGAGGCCGCAGCTTTTTAACGAGTGGTGGGAGAACCAGGAGCTGACGGTTTAACCTAATGCTATTGAAATTACACTGGAAAGAACAGACAGTGTCCGTGAAGTCAATATTAAACGCTATCCTGAGTAGCAAGGAGAGATTGTCTAAGGGAAACACGCTGAGTCCCCAAGGCTCTGAGCGCAGGGTCGTGCATCCTGGAGTGGAGTGAGGAGGAGAGACAGCCGGCCCAGGGACCAGCAAGGCCAAGGACTCCTACTGGTGCAGGGACCCTAGGCCATTCACTCAGCTCCCCTCTGTCCCCAGGCAACTCCCCAAGTCTCTGAGCTGTCCAAGAGCTGACAAATCTGCTGAGTCTGAGACCCCTCCACCCACCTTAAGAAGATCAAATCAGACTGTGTCTGTAAAAGTGGTTTGTAAACTCAAAATGCTAGGAGGATACTTGTTTTATCATCATCATTATCATCATCATATCAGTAAAATCACAGGTCTAGATAAAAAAATAAGCATTCAAACTCCTGCAGCCTATGAGGCCACAAAGAACACTTAACCAGACTTGGACCTGGGGTAGGA